ATTCTTTATCTCACTCCGGGCTGACTCGTTACTGGCATCACTTGTTGATTATTACAGCCAGTTAGCCAAGTGCTAGATCCAGCTCTGACAATTGTCACCCCAAGCTTACCCATGGAAATGGCAACTCACAAAACTAATTCATGTTCTTCCTAACTTAGAAATGACTCATCCTTGAGGGTCATGAAGGTAGGAGAAGAAATGAGCTCTCATGTATTTTGCTTGGTCTTCTTAATCCCTCATTCTTCTGCATGAGTGTGCCAAGGAGTATAAATATGTGAGGTTAGTTACAAAAATCAGTCCAGGCTTAGAAGAAGAATGTGGCAAACATTGACAGATTAGCTCATTCATTCATTCAACACACATTTGCAGGGCACCTAATACATACCAGAGACTGTGCAAAAGATATGGCAATGAAAAACTAACAGGAACACAGCAGAAATAATATCTGCCATCAAAAGATATTGTGCTAAGTTGCCACGTATTGCAGAATTTCCTTCTGTAGGTCTGAATAATATTCTATTTTATGTCTATACAACATTTTCTTTACCCACTCATCCTCTGATGGACACCTAGGTTGCTCCCATCTCTTGGCTATGGTGAATAGTGCCGCAATGTACTGAGACTGCTGACATCCCTTTGAGATTCTAATTTAAATTCTTTCTGATAAGTCTTCAGAAAGTGAGATGGCTGAATCATATGGTAGTTCTATTTTTAATTTCTTAAGGAATAACATGAAACTTCTTTTCCATTTTGTCATCTCAAAGATAATTGACCCTTGGATGCCATCTATCATGTTAAGATGGAACCAGACCCTCTCCTGTCAGGAAGGGTCTTCACCTGTCAGGAGAAATCATTGCCCTGCTGTGGCCTTGTAAGGCCTTTTCTCTTCAGCTAGATGAGCAACATAAACAAGGACAGAACAACATAAATGATCCTGTTGGAAAATATTCACATACATGTGGCCAGGCAAGGAGCCAATGCTAATCACAGTCTCCAGCACCTGCATACACTCAGCTGGGGGGCTCAGTTCTCAAAAAGAAATTCACAGGAGACCTGTCAGCACCTTGCCATGTGCCTTGGGATAAGGCTATCTAGAAACTTGCCTGAATGTTTCCCACATGCTACAGGCCTGCTTCTCAACAGTAACATAGTTCTCTGATACTGTCGTTCTAAACTGCAGAACAAAAGAACCCTTCAGAACCTGGGCTAGGAGGTGGGCTGATATCTGAACACCCCCCAAAGTTGAAAGGAGGCACTTGTGTGACACTCAGAGACGTATGTGAAGAGGAAGTGCTCCTGTTGAACAAAGACTACCTTCAGGGGCGGCTTCATAATGGGTAACCTGTGCAGTTGCGAAGCGCCCCACTCTCAGAAAGACCTCATGCTTGGTTCAGTGCTTTGCTGCTACCCTCTAGGAATTACTAATTTTTTAACAAGGAAGAGTTCACACAGTGTCATTTTGAACTGGATCTCACAGATTAAGTAACCTATCCCTACCACTTTCTCTGCCAAAGGGAAAATGAGGAACACAATTAGGGTCCTGGAGTCCCAAAAGAGCAGGTGAAATGGAAGCATGGGTTATAAAACAGGGAGAAGCAAGAGTGCAATTTCATATCTTGTAAGGAAATTAAGCACTGTTTACTAATCAGGGAGCCCACAATTTTAATTTCCCAAGCCATTGTGAAGTCTGAGACTCTGAAATACTCACTCTATTTTATTGCTCTGTGGACATTAGAGGGCTCTTTTCTGTTCCTTTAGTATAGAAGAGTGGCCCCAAAGACACGCAATTATAACCACGTAAAAATGCACCACACAGTGGTCAAAGCCGCAGTGCTGAACCACTTTCTCACTAACGATTTTCACTCGACTTCTCAAATGGTGAGAGATCGTTTTCCGATCTTGTGTTTTCTTTCGTTTTACAAACCCCAACCCCCTATTCAGAGCCCTCTCAACTGACATTTACGTTGTCCTTGTGGTGATGCTACTATCATTCCTTCTTGGTAAACATGTTTTGATATCGCCATCACCTTGACTTTCTACCTACTCAAGTCCTACCTACTCAAATCTGCCTTTTAACGGCCAGGCTCCCATGCACGTCACACCTGCTGTCAACCTTTCCTGGAGGGACATCCAGAGACAAAAAGATATAATTCCTGTCCTCCTGATGATTATCCTCTAATTTAGGAGCCGGAGCTAACAGACATTTAAATATTTGATATTTTTAAGAGAAATATTGAAAATAAATATACCACATCAGGACTGGCTACAGAATTTATAGGGCCTGATACAAAATGAAAATATGGGCTGCTTCTTTAAAACACAGTAAGAATTTTAGGCAGCAACCGCAAGAGCATTACACTAAGTAAGCATGGGGCCCTTCTATGTGTTGGACCTATGTGACCATGCAGGCTAAATGCCCATAAAGCTGGTCCTGATTTTCATTGGCCTGAATTGAGTCACATACTTAACCAATCACTGTTAAGTGGGTTGACTGACTTAGACTGAAAACAGCTCCCCTGGAGTTGGAGCTAAGTTGAACTTCCCCTGAGATGCATGATATCTGGTGGCAGATTCATTAATAAAACCAGACTCCTTTTGAGTAGATGTGAAGAGTGCATTGTTTCTGGGTATACCAAAATCAGTGTCCACCACACCATATATCCTTGACTCAGAAGGAGGAGCTCTGGTTGCTTATGGCCTTTGTTGTTTGTGGTCTCGAAGAGTTATTCAAGTCCTACCTACTCAAATCTGCCTACTTTTAATGGCCAGGCTCCCATGCACTTCACACCTGCTGTCAACGCTTCCTGGAGGGACATCCAGAGACAAAAAGATATGATTGCTGTCCTCCTGATGATTATCCTCTAATTTAGGAACCAGAGCTAAGAGACATTTAAATATTTGATATTTTTAAGAGAAAACATTGAAAATAAACATACTACTGAACCACCATATATTGGTCTTAAGAAATCAGCAATAATGCTCCAAGCTGGGTGGGGTACTCATTAAGAGTTTAGAAGGAAATGGATTTCACAGACAAGTGGTCAGTGTTGGGTGGTGTCAAATGCAGTTTGGGACAGAAAAGTGGAATTGACAATCCTTAGCGGCAGGATACTCCTACAGCAAGTTTTGATAGTAGCTTGAGTCTTTTTCAAGAGTCAAACAGGTTTGCTTGGCTAGAGCAGACTGCAGAGGTCACTTGAAAACATCAGTGGTGAAAGGAAAAAACTATGCAGTGGAAAGTCATTACTAGGAAATGAGATCCAATATAAAAGGCAACAGTAGAGTTTCTAAAGATGTATAGCAACTATGACTTTTTATACCTAAATGGAAATAGAGTCCTTCACTTCTGTTGTTCTTTTCAAAGCATTTTCACTCTTTCTTCAGTCATCCAACATGCTGTTCAGCTCTGAAGAACCAAACTCAGGCTATATCACTGTCAAGCAACCTTCCTTACTTTCCAGTCCCTCTCACCCCCAGTTGAAAGGGACTGAAGAAACAGAGCATCCCTTCTCCATGACTTGTGTACTCTGTGAATACTGTATTGGAATTATTTACTTGGTTGTCTTTCACTCATTGGACTGTTGGCTCCCTGATGCGGAAACTATGTCTTCTTCCTCTTCATCACCTCTGTGCCTTGGTAATTGATCAACATGTAATAAGAGTTCAAAAATGCCTATTGAAGTGATATACTCAGAATATACATAGGAACAATCAATTTTAACACTCTGTGTATGTAATGGCTAAACAATGCTCAGAAAAAGATGAATAATATGCATAAAGACTGAGATATTTTCTTTCTATTAATGGCCTGAAAGCATACATTGGATTGCATGTAGATAAATAGGAGAATGCTGTCAAAGATCACTTCAAGATTCTTTGCTTTGAAATCTAGAATGACATACAATAGACCCTCTTTATCTAGCCCCAGAGGACACAAGACAAAGACAGGACAATGACAGGATTTTCTTCTCAAGCTTATGAAATCACCTCCAGCCTTTCCTTCTTTGTCTCTGTCAGTTCCTGTACTTTAGGCTTATATCAGAGATGTGAATAGTGCACCCCAGCATTTGAATGTTTATTTTTCTATCCCTAAAAGTCTTTGAAATTTATAGTTTATTTCAGTTATGACATGTAGTCAATAAATGTTTATGGGGTACATATGGTCCTCAGTCCCAGCATAAGTGAGATTAAGTGGAGAATTATTTTTAGTTCCTGTATGGCCTGATGTGTAAATATTCACAATATCAGATAAATGGGTAATTTAACTCCAGTCAACACATATCTCCAAATTGCTACTGAACAAGCAAAGGCAATGCCCCAAAAACATAGCTGGCAAGTGGCTTCTTCAGTGGTACTTAATAAATGCTTCTACAGGACAGTAACAAACCTAAGGATTTTCCTAATCCTCCTTGACACCTAATATTGCCCTTTGGTTTATCTCTTCATGCTAATCTTCATGTTAGTTTGTGCTTGATTTCAGCATGTGTGTGCACTCATGGGCACTTATGTGTATGTATGGGTGTGAAGGGAACTGGATAATAAAAAAAGCCTATGACTTAACCCTGCTTTGTTAAGTTGGATTTTCCCACACAGAGGCTTTCTCATTAATTTTTTTCCTCTCTTAACACACATAAATCAGTAAATGATTGCTGAATTCCAACATCATTAGGAGGTAACTACCCTTCATTAAGATTGGATTACAAAATCACAATTTCTGCATTTATTTCATGATTCTGGGTAAATGCTTAGTGATCATAATGGTAAAAAATCCAAATGCCTGAAATACATGAGAAAAACAGGATTCTAAATCTAGAGTCTCTACGTTTTGTCATCAGTGTAAGATAAGATTGCTGCATTAAGAGCAACACAGTAAGATATATACGTAAGAACATATGTGCAAATTATAACTCTAAATAAATGTTGCTTTGTACTATAATTCTCAATATAATTTTAGTTAGTTTTACCTGATTAGAATTTTTTAAAAAACTTTAAAGACATACTTTGAATTTCAATGATCTTCTGTAAAGAAATAACAGCATTCATATTCGGGCTTTGGTGGAGAATATCTTCTGCAAGCGGCTCCAGCTGCAAGAATAGTAGATAATAATATGAGCAGAATATTACGACTTTATAGTAAGTCTCACAGAAGCAAAGCAAATTGAAACAACCTAATCCTCAGGAAAAGCTTGCTCCGAGAACTAGTTAACATTTTGCTGATATTCGTTCTAAAAGTGTAGCCAGTTTTATTTTCTGTTTTGCATCCATGTAATTGAATTCCAAGGGGCTTTTCCATTGGTCACAAGACTAATCTATGAAGTCCCTGAAGCAGGTGCATGTCTGTGTATTATTCATTAAAAATCTGAGTTATTTGTGTAATTTTTGTAGGTTCCTGAAAAACCAAATTCCATCATGTCTGTATACGCAGCTGGGCCCTGCAAACAAAACCTCAGGGAAGTTGCAATAGACAGAAAGTGGGCAGTCTATTATCCATACTTTCACAGTGTTTTTACATCTAACCACCTTGTATACATTTGAACACTTCACCATAGAAAGCCATGAGACACAGCTGCTTTTATTCAAAGGCCATTGAATAAAGTAGTAGAGAAAGGGTTCAAATAACCAAATGTAAAATAACTGTACAGTTTCATTTAACTTCTACTTTATTCATAACTATGCAGATGTCTGTGCGTAGCACAGGCCAAATTCCTACCTTGCAAATCTATCACGATCTTCTGGAATTACACTAATTTTTCATGGAGAAGCTCAGCAAACATTGCTTTGCAAGAAATGAAGAGAAGCTTTAAATAATTTATAGAGCCTATTTGTCAGACCTAAGTCTGCTAATGCATCCCTCAGAATGCCATGCTGATTAGCTTGGCATGTCGCAGCAGAAAGCGCATGGCTAGGGCCCTTGCAAATAAAATAGTTGTCCAGCTATTGTGACCCAAAAAGCAAATAAAGCAATAGTAACAAAAGGATTAACAAAAAAGTAGTTTTCCTAGAAATGTTAAGGTTAATCATCTCAAATAAGAACTGGTGATCAAACTATAATATGGCATGAATGGGAAGCGATGTCACTAGATGCATCAAAGCATAAACTCATCTATGTCCCTTCATCTGTAGGAAAATCTAAAAAAACACAAGGATTACAAGTTTCCACCGCATATGTGAGTGAATCTTCCCCTCAGGGTCTCTCTGAATTGATTATTCTATTCTTCAATCATGAAATCTAAAACAATAGCACCTTTATTCCAGATGCCATAGGATAACAGACTAGCTCAGGGATATTTATACATGGGTAAATTCACTAACTATAACTTTCCAGAGTGTTTTTCTTAGCTGCCAAAGAAAAACTTTTAAACATCAAAAGGTTTATTTGCAATACAGTTTGGTGAGAGGAAAAAAAAAAAAAAACATCACCACCACCGCTCAGTGGCAGTACAAGGTTCTGAAATAAACTCTTAAAACTCGTTAAAATCATTTTTTAAAATCTGGTATTTCAAATTGTATCTTCAAGGATATGTTAGTCCAGTAACAATCTCTTAACTCAGAGGAACTACTGAGTCATAAACTGTAGCTTACTTGGAAAACTCTTATGTATTAGACAAGGTTCAGAGAGCTACTTTGCTTATAAATAATTTTTGCTCCTTTCTTGGAGCTTAGAGAAAATAATTTTTAATAGAAACTAGGTAGATTTTACTAATAAAATATCGTGACATGACACTCTCTGTTCCAATATTTAAGAACAAAAGCACAAGGTGATGTCAGCATATTTAGCTCTTCAGAAAGCTTCCCTGTGACTTTAGGGTAAAAATGCTGACAAATTGAAAGGTGCTGGATCCTGGAAAGAAAGCAATAGGCAGATCATAATGTAAAACATCTAACTTCTAGTCTCTTGAACACTGAGGTCTGGGCTATTTTAAAGACTCAGGTTATATAGAACGCATATGTGATTCAGGGTGTTGAGAGTAAAATACAAACACCCCTAAACCCCCAATTTAGAATCTTCAGTTAGATGCAAAAGGGTTGTGTCTACTTTGAAAAGCAATTCGGAGAATTAAGGCAATTAAATTGATCATTTAAACCTCCCAAACCACTTCCCTGCATGTTTTAGTTGAATGTCATTTAGAGGATTTAACCTTCAGTAAATTGCCCCAATTTGTTTCATTTTGAGTGTACACATACAGACAGAGCTGAATTCAGAAAGTTCTCAACGTAGGTTCTTTATTTTTTCTCTAGTAGCTATGCAATGGATAATATTCTCTCCGTTGGCAAGAAGGCAAGTGGCATTTAGAGTCTGTTTTTATAAAATTAAAATCTTTTATGGTGGGACCACAGAATTGGGTTGTTTTTTCTAGAGAGTTATTTATGTAATCACTCACAATTATAAGCACTAACAACATCTGATTGACGCATCCACTTAATAAATATTAATGAGTGCTGGTCATTATTCATAATTTAATAACTAATAAAATAATATTAAATAAATATTCATTTTTTATACATTTGGAGCAGAAAATAAGAATATGTGGTAAAGTTTTGTTATGTATTTAATTTAGGTGATTAGATACAGCAAAAAGAGTGGCGATTGAGGTTAATCAGCATTACTAGAAGTTATTGAAAGATAATTAAAGAAGTAATTTATACAAACAAGACAACTTTTGCATGCAAAAGTTACAGAAAGATAAAGCAGATGCAAATGTAGGAAATAGTACACACCCATCATGCCATCTCCGTTGAGCAATTCTGTTAAGTAATAGTAATCATCATGGAGTTATAAGATACACTAGATAATTTTAACACAACCTCTTGACGCTTAAAACTCTCATCCAGCTTAATCGTATCTAAAGCTTAATCACAAGCATTACTCACACCAATTCTTTACACAGATTTTCAGGCTCAGTGACAGGAAAGTTTATTTTTCTACATCATTTTCAGGAAGTTATGATAACGTATTGACAAGATTCAGATGTTTGTTAAGTTGCATATACCATATACATTCTAAGTACCATAGCTATTTTAAAACACCATAAAATTGTGGCCATTATCATCTTATAAGTAATTTCCTGGTTCTTTAGAATCAGATCATTTAAATCGTCAAAAATCATTTTAGTTGCCTAAGATTCATCTATAGAAAGAGGCGAGGGATATTCTTGGAGAAGCTGTTGAGTAAGAGTTTTAAGATTTACGCTGTACTGATGAGATACGAAAAACAGCTCACTGATTCTTTTTATTTGCATGACTCAGAACAGAACACAAAGGCAGCTAAACAGAGTCTTTGCAAACATAACAGGTGTGTGAGGATGGATGTATACATCAATCAAGCAAAGGATCTATTAAATAGTCTTGTTAGCGTTTTTGTTATGTGTTGATGTTTCCCAAATATGCCAAGTATTTTAATATTTCTGTACCTTTATCTATTCTGCTCCCTCTGAAATCTATTTTCTTCATTCTTCTTTCAATTGGTAAAAACTTAACGAGCATTCAAGGACCACCACAAACATTGCCTGCTCCTCAAATTCTCTACTAGAGCAAATTTCTTCCCCTCCTATGGCCTTTTTCCCCACAAATACTCTAATTTACTAAATACATTATGTGGTAGGAAGTCATTTTTTCCCATTCTCTACTTTGTTGTGAGTCATTTAAAGTCAAATATGGAGACTGTATATGACAGACATTTTTAAAATATTGAATAAATGGAGAAATAATTAATTGAAAAAAAAAACATGAAGAGGTGGCCTTTATTCTGCTCGCCATAGCTAATAAGACAAAATAAAATGGGTTCTTCCTTTTGGTCACCTGCTGTAATCAGGATATGGTTTTAAGATGAAGAATCAGAACAGCAGTGATAATTCATTTTGTTTTCTAAGGTGAACTGCCCTTGCATAATTTCCAGACAATTATTTTCTCCTATGCATTGGCAAGGTTTCCTGACATGTAGGCAGATATTTCTACAGATCAGAAAAGCAGGAAAATGCAAAAGAAACAAAGACCCAAGGCAAGCAGAGGCAGATTGGCCATGCCAATAATTACAGCAGAAAAGGTCTCTTCCAACTGAGCAGGAAGAAAAAGCAATAGAATGACAATAAAATGGAATGAAATTTTGAAAGGCATTGAAATTAATCTTTAACCCAATTTGAGGAGAACTGGGATCATCCCAATACCTAGACCTCAAATCCATATACATAGTATGTTCTATAATTTATTTAGATGTTTGTTAACTTCTCTAAAAATATTTTACAATTTTGTGAATACGGTCATATTTTCAGATAGATTTATTCTAGCTATGTGGTTTGTTTAATGCTTTTGTAAATTATGTACATGTATATATTTACACTATATATAAAATATGTATATTTATAATTATATAAAAATTTTTCAATCCTGGTGTGATTCTGTCCTGTGTGTTTGTTCACTGGAGTAGGAGTCATATATCTCCATTCATCTTCTCTCCCACCTAAGTGGGTGACACAAAACCATGGAAGATTCGATGGACATGGACATGAGCCCCCTGAGGCCTCAGAATTATCTTTTCAATTGTGAACTAAAGCTGACAAAGATTATCACTTAATGAGGATCATGATGAAAATGAATACCAGTTTTCTTTAAGAATGGTCAGTTCAACATTGTTGAAGCAGAAGCAATGAAATTTAAAGGCAGTCCAAATAAAAGTAAGACTGGCAACTTTGAAAATGTCTGTACAGCCAAGAGCTTCCCTCGTGGGCTTTGAAATCCCACCACCTGTGGTCTTATGGTTGAAGTGTGGTTCGGGGCCAGTGCATAGTGGGCAGCACATAGTAGCTGTGGAGGAAGATGCACAGTCAGAAGATGAAGAGGAGGAGGATGTGAAGCTCTTCAGTATATCTGGAAAGCAGTCTGTCTCTAGAGGTTGTAGTGACGTTCCATAGAAAAAAAGTAAAAACTTGCTGCTGATGAAGATGATGATGATGACGACGAACATGATGATCATGAGGGTAAGGAAGCTGAAGAAAAAGCCCAGTGAAGAAATCTATACAAGATACTCCAGCCAAAAATGCAAAAAAATCAAACCAGACTGAAAAAGACTCAAACCATCAACATCAAGA